GAAAAAGGGTTGGGGGCTCAAGGCAATTTTTTTTGTTTTTTTTTTGTTTTTTTTTTTTTTTTTTTTTTGTGGCAAAGGAAAAATTCAGTCTGCTCAATTTTACACAAGCACCACTGTAAATACTTGCTTGTTTGTATTACTAGAAGAGTGGCTTAAGCATAAGCAGCAACATTGTACAAATACAAACTCAAAACGCATCTGAAAGTGTGTTTTGACACTGGTGCACTGATTCAAAGAATTCAGTAAGCTTTAAGCAACTTTGAACCAGGTTAACACTCGCTGTGGCTGTATTTCGGGCCGGTGTCATTTCTGTACAGAGCATCCTATCCAGCAGTCGTGCGTGATCATGCTGTATGCTGGTATCAAACACATGGGCAACTGAAGACAGTTGCGTGACATTTTACTGCTTTATATTCACTTATGTTCATTTGTCCTCATAACGAGCACTGAAACAAATTCTCTGGTGTCAAGTTAAGCACCATCCCGGAAGGAATTCCTGAATAGTGCTTGACACACCTCAATAGGTTGTGTGCTAAAACCCAGCTGAGAGGAAGGGGGAGAGATACCACGGTGATGGTTTTTGTTAAGCGGACGTATTGAGCAGGGTGTGCCGAGCACGGGGCGGCCACACGCGCTTTCCGAGGAAAACCAAGGGGAAGGCGCTCGTTCTGGGGGTCCGTGGGTTTCACTGGAGGCATTTCAGCGTCAAGCCGCAGTAGTCCAGGCATGCGCCAGTGGGTTTTTGCCCCGTTAATTCCACTTTTCTTCCCTCCTGCTCGGGGAGGGAGCACTAATAGCCACACATGTCCTTCAGTGGGCGGCTTCCTGGGGCTGATGAAGATTGGGGAGCAGCTGCAAACGATGCGCTGAGCCGCTGCACCAACCAGTGCCACTTCACGGAAGCAGGGAGAACCACTGATTCCTGTCATGCGTCAATGACAGCCACGACCCTGTCCTCTCCTCCTGAGGACAATGGAGAAGCCCCCTGACCCTGGTGAGATGAAGGTCCGGCCGTAGCCTCCTTGCTCCCGACCCAACGTCCTCATCCTTCGCAAGCAGCACAGGCACTGCGGAGGGGTCCTGCTGGCGCTTGCCTCTGTGTGTCCCAAGGCTGAAGAAGAGTTGTTGGTGTTGAACCTGAGGTGCGTTCCCGTGGATGAACATTTAAGTGTAAATCCTTGCTTCCAGCTGTGCAAGCGTTTTCTCTGAAGTGGCAGCTCCTGAGGTAACTCCCCTCCCTCTCCTTGTCCCTCCCCACCTCGTCGCTTGTGCTGCATCTCTGGTGTCCGTAGTTGCCACTGACCCGTTGAGAAACTCACTCTCCAGCTCCAGTGGCATCTTCTCCCACTCTGGAAACACAGCCATCACTTCCAGGTTTCCAGGGCAGATGTGTTCAGATCCTCAAAAGCCATGAAGGCACCGGGTCCCACCAGTCTGACAACCTTTCAGTGAACTGTTCAGAGAACATCAGGGACCTTGGCCAGAGTCCTTCGAACTGGGTCCCTGACTCTGAAGTAAGTTTTGTGACAAACTTACTGGTGAGAAAAGTCCTGCTTTTCATCTTTGTCGTGGTTTAAGCCGGCAGCCGGCAACTAGGACCACGCAGCCGCTTGCTTGCTCCCCTCCTCAGTGGGATGGGGAGGAGAATGACAAAAAGTAAAACTCGTGGGTTGAGACAAAGTTTAATAAGACAACGAAGAAAGGAATAATAATAATAATGATGATGACAATAATAATAATAACAAAGAATATGCAAAACAAGTGATACACAACTGTATCGCCCAACAACTGATTGTCCAGCCAGTCCCCGAGCAGCGATTGCAGATTTAATAGATTTCGCAGAACTCACGGATTTTGCCAAACTCACAGATTTCACGGAACACTCTG